CCCAGTTGTCAGACCTGTATCTGGGTCTGAAGGCTCTCCTTCCCTTTTCTTCTTCCTTCCACCTTTATCCTACACAAGCATTTCTCCCAGGAAAAAAAAACATTATGGCATTTGATTCTTAGAGGACCCAAACCAACATAGGGATCAGTGAAAAGATACTGGAAGAGAATTCATAAATAATAAGACTGTAGATACACTTGCAGAAGAGATTTATGTATAAAGATGTGCTGGATCCATTCTTCCAAACCTTTGTGCACACAAATCACCCGGGAATGGTGCTGAAATGGATTCTGGTTCAATAGGTCTGGGGTGGACCCAAGATGCTGTATTTCTAAGAAGCTCCCAGGATGTACTGATGCTGCTGGTCCAGGGACCAGAGTTTGAGCAGCAAGGTGCTGGAATCTTTGTTTGCCCTGCTCAGTCTCTCCTCCCTGGGAGGCTGACTGTGAGGGCCACATCAGTAGGCTCTGAACCTCAGGCTAACAGTTATGTTTGGCCAATGAGGAGCATTGACAAGAGATCAGAGGGCAGGAGGAGGATGAGGTCAGAGGTTTTTATTCCTCTGGGGATTGCTTCCTACTGGGTTGCCATAGGATGGCTGCATCCCTCTACCAAAGGCCCAACTCCTATCAGGTAGATCTCTCCAGTTTTCTCTCTTGCAGAATTCCAGTAACTGCTCTCTCCCTTTCCCCCTTCAGGCCTGGGGTGGTGATGGCTCCCTACTGTTGCCAGCCTCTGAGTACTGCAACATCCCTTGTAACTCTTAGTAAATACTGCCCACGTGCCTGTAATTAGTTCTTTAGTAAATGGTCCTCATTTCCTTAGCCAAATGTGCCAGCCGTCTCCTGCTGGGAACCTGACTGCTACAAGTGCTGTTCAATGCAGAATTTTTTTTATAAGAGCAGAAAACTGGAAACAACCTAATTGTGCATCATTAAAAAATGATTAAATAAATTACGGTACATCTGCTTAATGGTGTTACATGCAACAATTAAAGAGGATGCAGTAGGGACGTCCCTGGTTAAGAATCCGCATCGCAATGCAGGGGACTCGGTTCGATCCCTCGTTGGGGAACTAAGATCCCACATGCCGCAGGGCAACTAAGCCCACGTGCCACAACTACTGAGCACTCGGGCCACAACGAGAGCCCGTGTGCTACAACTAGAGAGAAGCCCGCGCCTGGCAACAAGGAGCCTGCACACCACAACTAAGACCCGACACAGCCAAAAAGAAAATAAATATATATATATTTTAAAAAAAGGATGCAGTAGATCTATGTTCATGGAAAGACGCCCAAGCCATTTATTTAATGAAAAAAGGGCGGGGGAATATTCAGAATAGCATGCATAGTAGGAACCCACTTCTTTAAAAAGTAAAATAGTAAAATATGCATTTGTTAAGGCTTGGATTGCATCCCCTGCTCAAAACAAACCTAACCAAAAAGAATGGGGGTGGGGGGGTTCTGATCCCATCTTTTTCTATCACTTGTCTCTGCTCTTCTGTGTGGTGGCTTCACTCTCAGGCAGGTTGTCTTCAAGTGGGGGCAGAGCGAGCCCCAGCCTGGCTTATGACGTCCTGACAGCTGACAACCTTTAACAAAAAATCCTGCACTGAAGGAATTGGAATGAGCTTGGACATACGCTAATCACTGAACCACGTGGACTGAGAGTGGGGGAAGGAGGCTCCCGAAGAGAAAGAGGGTGTCTCTTCCCCAAGTAGGAGAGGCAGGACAGGTGTAAGCAATACAGATCCACTCTAGAGGGAATATTTGTAGTAGACATTTGTTATCCTTTTTGGCTGCCCAGCATGGGAACCCCCTTCCTATGCTGGAGAGTCTCCTACCTTCTGGAGCACACACAATGGAACCTACCTCCCATTATACATGCTGAAAAAGCTAGAAATGCACTTTCCCAACTCCCTTTCTGCCAGGCAAAACACATGACCTGGCCAGGCCATTCAGATGCTCCCATCTCTGCCTTGGGCTCTGAAGCTGGTGACACCAAAATGGGCCTGTGCAGACTCCATCCTGGTATAGGGTGCAGCCTGGCATGATTTGGGACATTGTTCTTGGTTGTGGGGCCTCCGGGGCTGGTTCTCTGGCCCCGTGGGATCTGTGAGCTATGAACAAAACCTCGTATTAAATCCCCTTTCTTCTTAAATTATCCAGAGGGTTAATTTCTGCTGCTTGCAATCAAGAACCTTGATTAATGCCTATAAGTAGGTGTGCATGTTTAAATATGTATGAAATATTTTTGGAAAGATAAAATAAATGTGAATATTGGTTACCTATGGGAAGTAGGACTGGGAAAGTGGGAAAGTGGAGGAGGAGGGAAAAAGGCTTTTGCTTTATGCCCATTTGTATTGTTGGAATTTTTTTTTTTACCATGTATATTACTTTTACAGTGAAACAACTAGTTAGTAAAATATAAGAAAAGACACCTGAATAAATACAATAAGACAAGGAAGCAATTGCTCAGGATTTCAAGGAACCAAGTCTTCATTAGACATTCAAAACAAAGTCATCCTCAACTCTGTTGTGATGAACAGAGCCAAATGTGGAAATGAGTGACAGTGTTTGTTTAATTAATTAATTAGTTATTTATTTTGGTTGTGCAACTAGCGGGATCTTAGTTCTCTGACCAGGGGTTGAACCTGTGCCCGCTGCAGTGGAAGCTCATGGAGTCCTAACCACTGGACCACCAGGGAATTCCCCACACCTTGTTTTATTGTGCTTTCCTTTATCGTGCTTCCCAGATGTGGCATCTTATAGACTGAAGGTTTGTGGCAACCCTGCAGGGAGCATGTCTACCAGCACCATTTTTCCAACAGCATTTACCCACTTTGTGTCACTGTCACATTTTGGTAATTCTTGCAATATTTCAAACTTTTCATTATTATTATATCTGTTATGGTGATCCATGATCAGTAATTTTTGATGTCACTATTGCAAAAAGATTACAACTTGCTGAGGGCTTAGATGATGCCCTCTCTCCAAATGTTAGCATAACTTGACTGCTCAATTCCTTCAGGTCTCTTTGCAAATGTCACATTCTCAGTGATATCTTTTCTACCCAACCTATTATAAAATAACATCCCATCCTCTAACCCATTTACTTGGATTCTGTTATGTTCTATTTATTGTTTTAATAACATTCATCACCATCTGACAAGGTATTTACCTTGTTTGTTTTCTTAAAGACTATTGCACACTTACTAGACTACAGTATAGTGTAAACATAAATTTTACATGCACTGGGAAACCAAAAAGTTGCATGACTCACTTTATTGCAGTGGTCTGGAACCGAACCCGCAATATCTCTGAGATATGCCACCTCCCACATGGCCGAAATGATTAGCTCTATTACTGAATCTCACACACTCAAACACTTGCCATGACTCTCCATTACTCACAGAATAAATCTCTAGCACTGAAGCATTTTGCAGCCTGAACCCTGTGTACTTTCGAGACTTTTCCTCATTTTACCCTTCGCCTAGAAGACCTTATCTTCCAGCCCTGCCGGTCCATATCCGAAGGGCATTACCATCTTTGATCTGCCAAAGCCATGACCCTTATTCCTTCCTCATGCCCTCATCAAGTTTTGTTCTGTATTATAATTCTATATACTAGACTTAGTCATTTAACAGTCAAGTTAAATGACCTAGCACCTACCATATGTCTAGCTTTTTGCTAGGCTTTGGGACCATAGCTCACAGTCTGTGGAAACCAATTACCCCAGATCAGAATGTTAAGTCTGTTATCGCGATGAGAACGTAGTGTAAAGCAATTGGCTGGCAGGGCTGCTCTCGTTAGAATCTTTCTCTTTCCCTCCGCCTGGATTGCACTCTCTCCAAATGTTAGCATAACTTGACTGCTCAATTCCTTCAGGTCTCTTTGCAAATGTCACATTCTCAGTGATATCTTTTCTACCCAACCTATTATAAAATAACATCCCATCCTCTAACCCATTTACTTGGATTCTTTTATGTTCTATTTATTGTTTTAATAACACTCATCACCATCTGACGTACAAGTTACTTACTTGTTTGTGTATTTACAGCCTCTTTCCACTGTCAGGTCCAGGACAGCAGGGATTTTATTTTGCATCTTCTCTGGGGCCTAAAACAGTGCCTGGCACACAGTAGTCACTCAATAAATACTTGTTGAGAGTAGAAAGAGAATTGGACTATATGTCAGAAGACCTGGGTCCTAGTCACAGCTCTCCCACACGACAGTCGTGTGGGCTTTAGCAAGACACATCCTCTTTAAGCCTCAGGTGCCTCCTCTGTAAATTGGGGGTGATCATCTCGGCCCTTCCCCGCGGCTGACAGCACTGCTGTTAAGTATCAAACAGTGCGTCTCAAACTTTAACGTGCCTCAGAATCACCTGGAGAACTTGCTAAGATACCGGTGGCTGGGCTCCATACTCGGTTTCCTATTCAGTAGGTCTGGGTGGGATGAGAAAATGTTCATTTGTAAAATGTCCCAGACGGTGCTGCTTCAAGAACCACTGACGAAAAGAGATGAAGGTACAGGAGGTGATTGTAGGCCTAACGCCCGTCCCAGACAAGTATGGCACTGATGGCCCGGCAGGACATTCTGCGAGGACAGAGTGGACGCATCTGTTCCTTAATTCAGTCAACGACCATTTCGGAGGCGCCAGGTTAGTGCCGGGTGCCGGAGGGGTCAGCGGCGCGTGCCACAGGCCAGGCCCGTGAGCCCGTGGACTCAGACCCTGGCCCAGTGGTTGGGAGCTCGCAACGTGAGGAGGGCTGGGACGGCCGCTCGGACCTCCGCACGCGGCGGGAAGTATCCGGAGCAGCGGGGAGGGCCGCAAGCGGGCGCCCAGAACGCAAAGGTAACCTCGGGAGCTCGGCGGCGGACGCAGCTCGAAACTTCCCGGAACCCGCTGTCCAGCCCCCGCCCCCACCCCCGCCCCCGACGCCGGCGATTGAGGCGTGCCCTCGCCCTGGGCGCGCGTCCGGCACACAGTAGGCGCGCGGCCCGGCCCTCCTCACGCGGCCGGCACACAGTAGGCGCGCGCGCGGGCGGAAGGGGGCGCCGGCGCGCGGTATCCGGGGGCGGGGCCGGCTGGTTCAGCGGCGCAGACGGACGCGGGCCGCTGGCCGCGATGGGGGAGGGCGGATTGCCCCCGGCCTTCCAGCTGCTGTTGCGCGCCTGCGATCAGGGCGACACGGAGACGGCGCGGCGGCTGCTGGAGCCGGGGACTGCGGAACCGGCGGAGCGCGGCGCGGAGCCCGAGGCGGGCGCGGAGCCGGCGGGGCCCGAGGCGTCCGGGCCCGGGGCGGGGTCGGCGGCCGGAGCGCCGGTGCCCGTAGATTGCTCTGACGAGGCGGGCAACACGGCGCTGCAGTTCGCCGCGGCCGGGGGCCATGAGCAGCTGGTGCGGTTCCTGCTGCGACGCGGCGCCTCGGTCAACAGCCGCAACCACTACGGCTGGAGCGCGCTCATGCAGGCGGCCAGGTGAGGGGTCCGGGGCGCCGGGGGATCCGGGGTGGTGTCCAGCGGCCCACGGGGCGCGGGCGGGCTCAGGCGGCCGGACCTGCCCGGTGGCCCCCCGCAGATGCCCCGGGAGGTAAAGAGTGAAGGACTGGTTCGAGAGAATTGGAATGGTAAACTTTGAGTAGCTTGGGATACGACGAGAAGTGGACGCTCTTTTTAATAAAGTAAAATCCGAATCTTAGAAACATTGGCCTTTCAAAACACAATCTGGAGACAGCAAATAGAATCTTAGAGACTTAGAACCTTAGTGATGTCCATTTATTACTTCTGGCAACAAGGGTTTTCTAAGAACCTACCTACCAACCCTAGCTTGGCGTTCGGGATGCTGCGGTACCCAGGTAAAGTTCCCACTGGAGCAGCTCACATGCCATTGGGTAGGCCAGGTAAAGGAACAGCTTTCACGGGGAAAATTGGGGGAGCTTTTGGAGAGCAGACTCAGTTTCAGGAAGCGGGGGAAGGTTTCTGGTAAGGATGATGTATGTATTCAAGTCGAGACCTAAGGATACCTAAGAATTGACCTGGACGGAAGAAGTGGAAGGTGGGAATGGGGTGATAGGAGACCCGTGCAAAGGTTTGGAAACCAAAGTGAAATAGGCATTGGTAGGACTGCTAGAACGATGTTGTGGCTGGGAGAGCCTGGGAGTAGTGGGAGATGCACCGTGGCAAGGCTGCGAAAGGTGAGCTATCCTAAGGACACTGGGAAGTAATGGAAGTTTCTAGGCAGAGCAACTGACAGAATGAGATTTATGTTTTCAAAGATCACTTTCACTGCACCGTGAGGATGGATTGGAGGGGTGAGCTAGAATCGGAAAGGCTGGTTAGGAGGGGATTGCAGCAATCCAGGAAGAGGTGTTGGTGTCCTGGACCAGAGCAGAGATGGCGGTGTGAGAGCAAAGCAATGAGTTTGAGATGTACTCAGGAAGTAGGATGAACCGGACTTGAAACTCTGGTATAAAGAAACTCTGATATACAGTGAAGTCTCTCACTCCTGTCAGCCAACTACTTAGGTCCCACCCAGTTTCTTGGAGAAATTCCCCAAGGAGGGAACAGAAGTCATTTGTAATTTTGATGGATATTGCCGAATTGCTCTCCATACAGGTTTATTAGTTTCCTATGGCTGCTGTAACAACTTACTACAAAGCCAGCAGCAATCACATCACTCCAACCCCTGCTTCGTCATCACATCTTCTGCCTCCTTTGCCTCCCTCTTCCACGTTTAAAGGACCCTTGTGATTCCACTGAGCCCACCTGGATAATCTCCCCTATCTCAAGGTCAGCTGATTAGCAACCTTAATTCTATCTGCAACCTTAATTTCCCCTTTGCCACGAAACCTAACATATTTACAGGTTCTGGGGATTAGGATGTGGACATCTTTAGGGAGCCCATTATTCTGTTGACCACAGTAGTATTAACCAGTTTACCCTCCTGGCAGCAGTGTATGTGAGTGCCTTTTTTTTCCTGCAGCCTCTCCAACAGAGTATATTATCAAACTTTTGAATTTTTGTGTCTGATGAGTGAAAAATATCTCAGCGTGGCCGTGACTTGCATTTGTTAAACTGAGTGAAATGAAACATCTTTCCATATGTATGAGCCATTTGTTTTTCTAAAAGGCGTTGAAATCACAACATTCTTACCCATAATCTTCTCATTGTGACCCGATTATATTTCATTTCTGAGTTCATTTCCAAGTGTTACATGGTTGTTCTAGTTTAATTTGTATTTCTGGAAAATTTTTACTCTGCATTATTTCCGTCGTTAAATATATCGTTTTCCACTGCTGTGTGATATTCCATCCATGGGCACTACTTAACCATTTGTGGTTTGCTTAACCATTCCTTAGCCCTTGGGTATTTATTTCAGTCTGTAAACACACCTAGGTAACGCATCCCAGTTGTAACACTTGGGCTGCCCATTCACATGGGTAACGCAGTGTTTTATGCACCTATCAGTGTGTTGGGACTCCTTGTCTTAAGAAGCTTGATTTGTTGCCCGGAGCAGTCTGGGGTGCCCATAAAACCTTTTGGGCTATGGGCCTTACTTCTGAGGTTCCCTGTCTCTCTTAGTGGCCCCATCCACTCTTCCAGGCTTTAAAACTCCAGGTAGGTCCTCAACCAAGTACCCGTCTAGGCCTTAGCATCTCTCTTCCCCTCTGCGTTAGTCCAGGCCACACATTTATAAGTGGCCTCCCACTGCTGTCTCTTCTTCCAGGTGTGCCTTCTGTAATCCATCCTCTGCAGAGCTTCCAGATCTTTCTGAAATGAATGTTTGGTTGTGCCTCTCCTGTGATAGCTCCCCTAGTCAGAGCCCTTACCATGGCATTTGAGGCTCTCACATTCGGACCTCTTCCCAAATCCTCTCTTCTTCTTTCCCCCTGGCTTCCTAAATTCAGGCCAAGATGATATCATCCAGGCCTTCTCTTGTGTCTCCCTGCATGTTCTTTGTTTTTGTTTTTTTAAGTTAACGTTTATTGAGCATTTACTGTGTGCCAAAAATTTCGTCTCCACTTTATGAATGAGAATTTGACATTACAAAATCTGCTCATGAGCATTCAGCTAGTCAGCAGATTTGGGGAGTCCAGCCGCAGAGTCCTCACCACAACCAGGTACTGGAAACCTCTTCTTCCCCTTCTCCCCTCAGTGAGTGAAGCCCCCACTTCCTCCCAGCTTAGCTTCTTCTGGGAAGCCTGCCATGATATCCCCCCTGTTCTCTGGTCTCTCAGCCCTGGGCAGGCCTCTGCGGTAGTGCCCACCACTCCCACATTATAGCTGGTCACCTTTGTCAGTGACACCCAAACCTGGCCGTACATCAGAATCATTGGGACGCTTTTCCAAATCAGATCCCTGAGTTCCCTTTCTGGGATTGTGATTCAGAAGACCCAGGGGAGGGACAGGGACTCTGTGTGACACGAGGCTCCCCGGCGACGATTCTCCCACATGGTAGGTTTGGGAGCCACTGACGCGCACCTAATCTCTGAACTCCCACCTGGAACCGAGGAACCCTTAGTGAGCCCTGGGGGCCTTGCTGAGTGAGATTTATGTCTGCAGCACCTGGTTTGCTGTAGGGTGTCTCAAAGACCCTGATCACCAGTTTTTTGCTGCTAACCAAGTTCTGCAGGATGGTCAAAGTCATCTGATTAATTTCATCTAATGAAATTTAACCTTGATGGGACAGGAGACTCAGAAGAATTAAGCTGAACTCTGCTAACTAATAATTTAACATTTTTAGAGGATTTTCCTTCTTCTCTACAAGTTGGTATTGTAAAAAGAGCTGGAATTTGTGGTCCAAGTGTCCTGACTTTGTCACTTGCAAATCGAAAGGCTCTGGACTAATTACGTTCCTCTTTTTTCCTCCATTTATCTTACAGGTGCTATTTTGGAAGCGTTAGCTATGACATACTCTCTAATTTACTATGGTAGAATGGGATAGTCCTATGAGATGATGAGAATTGACTCAACCTTTAGCTGAGCCTAGACAGGGCCTGGGTACTTTAAAATTTATTGTACATCAGTTTGTGATACTGACCATCTGGACTGTCTGTGCTGGCTTGTGCTCAAGCATTCGCTTGCCTAACCTGCATCAAGAGCTCAGTGTTGAGGAATAATATGTAGGGAGACTTCCTAAAGGATACACAGTTTGTCTGACCCTTGAGTCAGGACGGCCAAGCACGTGGCTGTGTGCCGACACGTTCCAGTCCTGTGCTCTTTCTCCTTGAAAGTAGATAGGCCTCAGAGATGGTGCTCCTGGCAGCCACCACTTTCAATGAAGTGAGCATCTATTTATCTTCCCAGCTCTCTGTGTTCCAAAGCTCGTCATTGGATCAGGACCATCAGAGGCCCTGTGCCTGGACTGCACTTTGGTCTCTTGTGAGTGTTTTAGCATCAGAGATGGTTTCATTCATGTTTTTTTTCCTATTCTTAAAATGATAACCTTTGTTGAGCACTTAGTTTGTGTCAAGCACTGTGCTAAGTACTTCAAATGAATTAACTCATTCAGGCCACACAGAATCTGAGGAAGTAGGTACTGTTGCCTTCCCCATTTTACAGATAAAGAATTGAGGCTCAGAGAAGTTAGGTTACTTGCCCAAGGCCACACAGCTAGTAAGAGACAGAGTCAGATTCACACCTAGGCAGGTGCTCCAGAGCCTATGCTCCCAGCCTCTGCTCTCAGCCATGAATCCTGTAACTCACCATTTTCCTCTTGGTGTTGGCCACAAGGAAGCCACTTGCCAAATTTGCTAAACACTAAAGGGACAGCTTATATGGTGTTTACTCTGGCTCTAATTTCACCCTTGGCTTCCTTACTTTCCTTCTTCTGCCCTTCACTTTTCCGCCTGCCAGCGTGGCAGAGCTGGCCTCTCAGCCCAGTGCTTTGAGAGTGGGAGTGTGTGCCAGGTCTTTCAATACAGGTGTTAATTGCTGAAATTAATTGGTAATCATAGCAGCTGCTCAGAAAGCCCTGAGCTTCCCTATCTTCAGTAATTACCTATTAGAAGCTTAGCATCCACAAAATTATCTCAGCCTTCATTGAATCCTTTTATATTTTCAGCCTAATTGAATGACCTCTTGGGCTACTCACGAGTTCAGAAAGCATTCCAAGTGTCAGCATTTCTGCTCAAATTAAGCGCTTTTCCTCCTTTGTGAGTTTGTTTTACCAGAAAAAGTGGGCTTTGGGATTTTAGGGTCTAGGTTCAAGTTTTGACTCCATGGCTTCCAAATTGAGAGATTCTGGATTATTGCTTTCCATTGTAATCTTCAGTTTCCTCATCTGTGAAATAGGCATTATCAGTTTATCTCAGGGCTTACTAAAATCCAATAGATAAAAACAGGATTTTTATCTGTTATCTGCTGTCAGGGATTATGCTAGATTTTATCTCATGCTTGATAACTAAATAGAGAAATCTTTTTTAAATTTTTAAAATATTTTTGGCTGCGTTGGGTCTTAGTTGTGGCATGTGGGGTCTTTGTTTGCGGCGTGTGGGCTTCTCTCTAGTTGTGGCGTGCGAGTTTTCTGTCACTAGTTGTGGCGTGCGGGGTCCAGAGCGCATGGGCTCTGTAGTTTATGGCACATGGGCTCTCTCGTTGAGGCGCAAGAGCTCAGTAGTTGTGGGGCGCGAGCTTAGTTGCCCCACGGCATGTGGGACCTTAGTTCCCTGACCAGGGATCGAACTTGCGTCCCCTGCCTTGGAAGGCGAATTCTTTACCACTGGACCACCAGGGAAGTCCCTAAATAGGGTAATCTTTTAAAGTTATCTACTCCAACGGAGGATACACCAGTTCTTCGGCCATTTCTGTTGCCTGTCTGGGGACCAGCCTCTGTGTGGTTATGCCAACTGTTCATTCACTCACTCATTCGACAAAATTTACTGAGCTCCACTGTGGGTCTTGTCCTTGGAGAGTGCACAGTCTAACAGGAAGACACAGTTATAGAAGGAGGGCCCAGGTACATCAGGAGGGGTGAGGACAGGGGATTGTGTGTGTTCAATTGAGGGACACCTGAACTGATGTGGGGAGATGATCTGGAAGCTGCTCAGAGGAGGTGAGATCTGAGCTGAATCCTGCAGCAGGATAACGGGTGTGCTTAGACCCGTAGACAAGGACAGGAGGGTACTCTGGTCAGAAAGGCAGGATGGCAGAGGCATGGGAGGAGTATAACTGCTGAGTGCAGGTGAGCGTGGCAGTACAGTGTGGGAGTTGGGAGGAAGTAAGGTTGACAAAGTTGGCAGGCCTTTTCGGGAAGTGGGGGAGTGGCCGTGAGATTTAGGTTTGCGGAATATCATTATGGAGAATGGGCAGGGAGACAGGCTGGGGTTGCAGCTCTCCACGTTTTTGCCAGATTCGGTCCACTCTTGGAGAAGAGGCCAGACAGGCCCAGTTCCCCTGCAGCTGGGGAAGCCAGTTCACCAAGCTCTCCCTCCGAGCTCCGCAGGCTGAGTGACCCGGTGCTGTTCAGGTTCACATCCCAGAAGGTATTTGTAAGTTCAAAACAGAGTTCAACCTTGGCTCTGCCTCCACAGGGAGGAGGGAGGCCCTGGGTTTAGAAGAAGCACAAAACCGCTTCCGTAAAGGAGGGGAACGCCACAAGAGATTCATTGTAAAAGCTGCCTCGCAGATGCAGACCTCATGCCGGCATTATGGTCTTGTAAAACCTGGCGCCGCCGGCCCCTTTCTTCTTGTTGTTCTTTCCTTTTAGTCCAAGGCTCCTTCCAGCTCTGAGCCCAGAAAGATTGCGCCAACCCCAAACGCTGCAAAACAGAACTCTTCTGCCCTCTGGCGGCAGACGAAGGAAGAAATTTTGCTGGGAAAAGGCATCTGTTTTCCTCTTCCTGGTATTAGAGTTGGTGGGTGCGTGTCTGTCTCCCCAGCGTCCCAGCCAGGCAGTCGCTCAAGCTTCCCTGGAGAGGGTCTGGCCCAGATCAGATTCTCAGCCGCCAGCAGGGGACATTCCAGCCAGAAGGTGGCAGCAGGCCTCTGGCGAGAGGTGCCCCCGCCCGCCTCTGCTGACCACAGCTACGCCACACTTCTTGGCATGGGGTCCGCTGTCTCATCTCGAAGGACCTTCTGTGCATGTGTGTTTGGGGCTGGGAAGGGTAGACGTGAGTCAGACATGGGCCCTGCCTGTGGGGAATGAGAACACAGAGAGGGAGCTTACCCAGCTCTGAAGCAGAATCACACGAACTCTCTGCGATGTGGGAAGCAGCGTGGTGTAGGGGAAAGCGGGAGGGCAGCAGGATTCAGACAGACCTGGGCTCTGACCCTGTGGCCACCTCTCACCAGCTGGGTGACCTTGGCCTGTTGTGTGGTGTAAAATGTTTAAATGATTACAATTGTAATAGCTAACATTTATGTGGTGCTTCCTTTGGTCAAGCACTGTTCTAGGTGCTTTATGTATGTTTTATATTTATATATATTAACTCATTTAATCCTCCACAGCCCTTGAAGTAGATATAATCATATCCCCATTTTAGAGATGAGGAAATGAAGGCACGAAGAAGCTAAAATTCTTTCTCCAGGTAATGCAGCTAGTGGGTGGCAGAGCTGGATTGGAAACTAGACAGGGCAGTGGCTTGCCTTTGTGATGGTGTGTATGCAGGGCCAGCACAGTGCCTGGCAGCAGAAGAAGGCCTTTGATTATAAGCAGCTATTACAACTTTAATAGTTAATGATTCAATAGTTAATAACTAAATGATTACATGAGCTGTCTCCTCATCACTGCCCCATGTTGAGTGTCACTAATTGTCCATCTTCCTGGCAGATTTGGACATGTGAGCGTGGCACACCTCCTTTTGGATCACGGGGCTGATGTCAATGCCCAGAACCGGCTGGGGGCCAGTGTGCTCACCGTGGCCTCTCGGGGTGGCCACCTGGGCGTGGTGAAGCTGCTCCTGGAAGCCGGTGCCTTTGTGGACCATCACAAACCCTCAGGCGAGCAGGCGGGGGACGGCAGGGACGAGCTCCTGGACGTCACGGCCCTGATGGCCGCAATCCAGCACGGACATGAGGCTGTGGTACGTCTGCTGATGGAGTGGGGTGCAGACCCCAACCACGCGGCCCGCACTGTGGGCTGGAGCCCGCTGATGCTGTCAGCACTCCTCGGGAGGCTTGGCACGGCCCAGCAGCTGGTGGAGAAGGGGGCCAACCCGGACCACCTCAGCGTGCTGGAGAAGACCGCCTTCGAGGTCGCACTTGACCGCAAGTACAGGGACCTTGCAGACTACCTGGACCCGCTGACCACTGTCAGACCCAAGACAGGTCAGGCTGCGCCACCGCTAAACTACCCCCTCGTCCCGCCATGGCCTCACAGAGGACCCCAGATTGTGTTTAAATGGCAAACGCCGAGGGGTGTCCAAACAGAAGGGCATGTGGAAATCGCAGCCTGCGGGGTAGTGGGACTTAAGATGTGCCGTGGGGGAGAATCAGGCAGGGGTGCCTGCCACGTGCAGGTTCCTGGCCCACCCTCCCTCCAGAGAGTGATTTGGTAGCTCTCAGAAGAGCCTGGAAACCTGCACAGCAAGGCCCCTCCTTCCTAACCAGATGATTCTGGTGCAGGAGGTTCTAAGATCCTTCTAGAATGGGTCAGCACACTTCTGTAAAGGACCAGATAATAAATATAGTATTTTAGGCTTTGTGGGCCACACAATCTCTGTCGTAACCACTCAGTTCTGCTAGAATGAAAGCAGCCTACGTGATATGTCAAGGAGTGGGTGGGGTTGTGACCAGGAAAACCATCATTCTAAAAACAGGCACAGAGGTGGTTTGGCAACCCCTGCTCTAGAACAGTGTGCCTAACCTCAGTTGCCAATGACCAGTGCCCAGAGAGTAATTCACATAAAATTTAGCCTCCTTTTCTGTTGTGTTTTTTCAACACCTATTAGTGTATCCTGTTTCTTTTTTCTTTTTGCCATCTTTCTGGCACTTAAAGAGATGTCTAAACTTGCCATCTTTCTGGCACTTAAAGAGATGTCTAAACAATCCTTAGCAAATCTGCTACAAGACATATGTTTCAAAACCTCTAGTTCATCATGTGCAGTAGAATTGTGTAATGCAGAGTCACACGGCCTCAATACCCTCTGTCTGTGATGCTCTGATTTCAGTGGCAGGCCTGAGACGACCTGGGCTGTAAGGCTGGGCTGCAGCATGTGAGCACGTAGGACCGAAAGGTAAAAATTGGAAGAAAAGGTCATCAGACAGACAGGCTAAAAAGACTTGAAAGTGTTGAAAGGTTTGAACCATCCAAAGAATACGCAGTAGTCCTGTCAATCACTTTGTAAATCAACTACATTTCAATTAAAAAAAAATTCAAATGGTCAATTAAAAAAAAGTTCCATCAATTAAAAGATGCTGCACATTTGGGAAATGCTTATTAGAAATACACTGTCGGGTCAAAATACTCTGAAATAAACATGTTGAAAAACCCCGTAACAACAGAGAGATGGCGAAAATGAAGAGAACGCCAAACAGAAAGGAAAAAGAAGTAAAGTTTAGGAAAGCCTATCTGGAGCCAGGAGACCTCTTTACTTTGTGCAGATTGGACAAGTGAGGTCCAGGGAGGAATAGAGGCTGGTCAAAGGTCACATACCGGTTAGAAGCTGAGTGACACTCAGAAGGCGAGGGAATCCATGGGAAGAGCACGGGGATGTGACTCCGCCCAGTTGGAGCACTTGTAGGGCCGCTGGGAGCTGGGCATGCTTGTAACTCTCTCTGAGCCTTCCTTTGCCTCTTGTGTAAAATGGGGTTAATGACAACTACCAGGTGGTCATGAGCAGAAAATAAGCTGGCCTCTGGGGTGTGAGCCCTTGGGCTAGAATGTAATAGCAGTTCAGTGTTAGGCCCTGGGGAAGAGTTGCAGTTGGAAGGTAGGGCTCCAGCCTCACACAGGGTATTTTCCTTGACGCAAGGCTGCTGCCCTCCTTTAAAGGCTTTGGTTCCGTTTGTCTCTGTAGCCAAGATCGGGACGGGAACTGCCTTCTCATGTCCCTGCTCTGCCAATAGGCAGACTCTTACCTCACCCCCACCCCGGGGAGGTTGGCTTCAGCCATGTTGCAGGTGAGGGAGATCAGGCAACTCGCTCAAGGCCTCCACCCTAGAAGTCGACAGTCTGTAACTTGCACCCTGCCTGTAGCCACTGAGCTGTGCCTCTCGTACTGCTTATTCTCCTCCTTCCTCAGATTTCCCCCAGCCGGCGTTCTGGGGTCTTAGCTCCCCACGTGCCTCCTTAGGGACTGCCCTGGCACCCTGGGAAGGCGATGCCCTCATCTCCTCAAGGTGCGGCGGGGCAGACACAGTGGTGGGTGTGCCCAAGGTCACCCTCTACCAGGATCCACCCAGCCTTGCCTGTGCTGGCCAAGGGACCTTGGACCAGCTGCCTGCGTTCTCTAAGCTTCTGTTTCGTCATCCATAAGTGGGTGACGGGAGTACCCCCTGCCTCACAGGACTGCTGTAACAATCAAGTGAGGTCATCCCAGCCCAGAGGGAGCACGTGAGAGATGCTGGCAGCTGCCTCACCCCTGTTACCGTAGTCATTCTATTTGATGGGACCGGGTCATGGTTACGAGCAGACTTCCCCATCGAGCAGACCAGGGTTTGAGGCTCAGCTCTCCCACTTTGTGGCTGGGCGACCTTGTTGTATTCATTGTCCCTCCAGCACTCCAGTGTCCTCTTTCATAAAACAGCCATAATAAATGCACTTACCTTGTGAGGTCCTATGAGCTGTGGTAAGATAATGCCTGTAAAATACATACCCCAGTGCCTGGCACATAAAGAGCAGTGAGTGGAAGCTACCAAAATGGATTTTTATTGACCATTCATTCATTCCGTTACTCTGCAAGTACTTGAGTGCCTACTATGTACCAGGCACTGTTCTAGGCACCAGCAAACAAATCAGACCTAATCCCTGCGCTTGAGGACGCTGGCCTCTGTAGGCGAGACAGCCAAGAAACAGGAAATAAGCATATTAAATAAAATAAGTTACATAGTACGGTAGATGGAAGTACCATGGTGGGGAAGAAAACAAACAGGGGCGAGGTGGAGGGTGTGGGAGCAGTGGAGTTGGGGCGATACAGGCCATCGTTTGAAATAGGGCCGTTGGGTGGCCCCCTTGAGGTGAGAGTTCAGCCTACTTGCAGGAGCTGAGGAAGTGTTCCATGCGGCCTCTCAGGGAAGAGCCTTCGGGTAGGACAACAGCAAGGGCAAAGGCTGTGTTACTAATAATGACAGATTATTAAGTGAATAACATTAGGTCCCAGCTTTTTTTGTGAAATGCCAGAAATCCACCCCGCATCGGGGCCTTGGAGATCCCCAGCTCTCTCCCTTGCATTAGCTGCAGGACAGGATATCTTTGAGGCTGTAACTGTCCTTGTGACACCCTCCCCACCCCCACTGTGGTTGTTCCTTGGGCTATGGAAGGGTCCCTGGAGTTGCTCTGATACTCATGCAAAAACTGGAGCCTGGAGTGAGGAAAGGACCAGCCCAGGGTCACTGGGCATCAGGCACAGCTGCCCCAGCTTCCTGGGGTAAGACTAGACTGTCAGTGATTCATTTGCACCAGAAGGTTGCTTAGCAACCAGCACTAGGGCCAGGTGACACACTCTTTTCTGTCAAAGGGTCTTGGCATGAGAAGGCCCTGGCCCACAGCAAATTAGACTCTTAAACACTTAAAGGAACGAGACATATTTTTTGAAACCAAAACACAGTATCATTTCTTAATAGTATTTCAAAGGCAAAATTAGACACTTGGTTCCATGGCCCTGTGTATACTTCCTTGTAAGAGCCCTGGAGTTAACTAGTACCTTTTCTGGGGTGGATGCTGGTCACTAGGAAAGATAACAAAAATTGCTCTTTTTTTTAGAATAGAGCCTAAGAATTTCTGAAGCATTTTACCATCTATATTATCCACCCCTGCAACAACCACATGGTCCCCATGTTAGTGTGTTGTCCCCATATTAATGATGAGGAGACAGATCTCTCTGGAAACATGCATTCAGATTCGGGTACTCTGACTCCAGACTCTGTGCTCCTTGTGCCACGCTGCACCTTCCTCCCAGCTGCCGGAGGGGGCTGATCTGGACCAGGGATTTGGCCCAGAGTCACAGGTTTCCTCCTGCAGCTGCTCCATCCCCCCGGAGTTAGTCAAAGGAAGTCCTACATTTGCACACCAGCGAAGAGCCTGGTCATGAGGATGGATGCTTTCTGACGGGAAGAAGCAGGGTACCCGCTAGCTCCAGCTTCGAGGAAGATGACAGAGAGCAGATGAGGGAGGGGCTAGCCCTGGGTGGGCGCAGCAAGGCCCAGCACGAAGACATCAGTTGGGCAGTCGCCTGCTGGGAGCTGCATCTGCAAGTCTGGGGTAGGGGTGACTTTCAGAATCATTCAGATGGCTGCTTATTTGGGAAGGAAAGCAAATATTAGCATTGGCTCTTCTGGTGGCCACGACCATGACCTCCTCTGGGATTAGCTGCTCAGTGTCTCAGGGGTCCTCTGCTCTGGAATTACCTCATGGTTGTACATTTAGTTTTTAGACTAAAAGAATCATTGTTTCTTTTTAAAATCTTCATAGGAATACAGATTTTTCCAAGACTGTACTTTTCCATTCTATCTGAGAAAGGCCATCCCAAAGTTTGGAGTGCCTAAAAATGACTGCTTTGTGAGTTGTGGGATCGGGAAATGGTCTGCTCATTCATGTTTTCTGGGCCAGATGACCTCCCACGGTCTGTGTCTGAAGCATTTTCAGACACTCTGACAATAGCCCTTCCAGAAGATCTGCTGGAGTCATCTCAGGTCTCTGATTAGACTGCTTTTGAGAAGCAGATCATTTTTAAAGCTAGGCTGGGTCATTACACCCTTGTGACTTTTCTGTTGTTTCAAACCTTTCCGTGGTTAACTTGTAAAATCTTTGTTTACCCAGATGAGGAGAAAAGGCGACCTGATATTTTCCATGCATTGAAAATGGGTAAGCGCTTGAGAAAATCTTTTTGGATATTTAAGAATACAGTGCTATTTTTTTCCAACCTAATTAATATTTATAGTCCTTTCCAAGGCCACCCAGAGTATTTGAGAAAGAAACAGGCATTTTGTTGTTTCCTGACTCTAGTTTCACCCAGGGAGGTTCAGACCCTGGAGTCTGGTAGTCATGCTGTTTTACACACAGGTTCCAGACTGCCCTCTCAGGCCCCCTCTGCCTCTCCGGCTAAACCCTGTGGCTATGTCCTGGCTTTTACTTACCTCTAAAATGCCTGGCTGCCCACCTACCCGCTCCACTCTCTTTGTAATGAAGGGCTGTTTAGCCTAATATTGCCTCTCCTGAAATAGACACCCCACCTCCAGGAAGCTCGCCCTTATCCTCACCTCTCAGGGAGACCTGAGCTCTCCTTCTGCGTGCTCATTGCCCTTCATCACCATCCTTTTAAGATGTCGGTGACATTTTCTGTCTTTTGGTAAAGCCGTTCGTGTGCTTGCCTCCATCCCTCCTAGACGGAAGGATTTGAGAGTGCGGGCTACCTCTGACTCATCTTTGTAGCCCCTGCGATGCCCCGTAGCCCAGTGCAGAGGCTGGCTTAGCACATCTGTTACATGAAACCACTGGGTAAATGATCCTGCAGTGCCAGGCCCACGGATCACCAGGGCTTCTGCTTCTGCTTCTGCTTCTGTTGCAGGAAACTTCCAGCTGGTCAAAGAGATTGCCGATGAAGACCCCAACCACGTGAACCTGGTTAATGGGGATGGGGCGACCCCACTGATGCTGGCAGCTGTCATGGGGCAGCTGCCTCTGGTGCAGCTACTGGTTGAGAGGCATGCTGACGTGGACAAGCAGGACGGCGTGCATGGCTGGACGGCCCTCATGCAGGCCACCTACCACGGGTCAGTGCCAGCTCCACTCCCTCAGTGGGGAGGCTAAGATGTCCCGGGCTGAAAGAGGATTCCTGATGGGTTTCTGGTACCGAGATGCTACAGATGAGCCCACCCCCCCCAATTATGACGATGTTGAGGCACTCAAAAAAGACTAAAAGCCACGCAGGCTCAGTCTATCCTGTATTCCTACCCTTTGTGTCCAGATTTCCTGTTGCCTTGGCACACAATTTCACCTGTGGTCATGAGAAACCATGCAGAAGGAAGGTTTTATACTGAAAGATAAGTTTCAGTTGAGCAAACAGATTAGTTCTTCTGGAGTTTCACATTGGTGTATATAGCAGCCCCCTGTTGCCCCTGTTGGGAATGAACATCGGCCATTTGTACCACTGGCTTCTCGTCTGATGGTGAGGCTTGTCCTAGCCCTCGTTTTGCATAGGCGTCAGCGTCGACTGGTGCTTCTGAATCCCTTCTCATCCAGTCATCCCTCTGCCCTCCTGGATGCCTCCTCCTTGGGGTGGGCTTGACCAAGAGGCAGGGATCTGCATACAGCCTTATACCTGCTCAGTGATCTGATTCCAAATTAGGGGCTCCACCCTTGTCCTGCTTCAGGTGATCAGAGCAGTCTCCTGCATCCTTTTGAAGTGGTTTCTTTCCTCATTTGATAGGCCTCAGACTTCCACATCAAACACCCTGGCCTGCGGGAGGCTTCATGTTTCAGCTGCAGGAGTCCTGATTTGGGGCTGGAGGGGCAGGGCCTGCATGTGGTCCTGGGGGCCAGTGGTTTTGGGGCAGAGCCCTTGGTTTTTGGTTTGTGGAAGGAACACTCAGGCTTTGATTTCTGTCATGGCTGGCCACAGTGTAGGGAACAAGGGCTGGGAGACACAGCTTTCCAAGCCCTTTTACAGGTGCAGAGATGCTGTAGTTAAAGCCACCACTCATGTTGCCCAGAAGCAAGGCCATGATTTCTCTTTCAGTGGGTCTCACTCTGGCTTTTTCTTTCTTCCACAGGAACAAGGAGATTGTCAAATACCTGCTAAACCAAGGAGCCGATGTCACTCTTCGTGCAAAAAACGGGTACACGGCCTTTGACCTAGTGATGCTGCTGAGTGATCCTGGTGGGTTGTTTCTGGAAAAGAGTTTTAAGCCTGCCGGGTTCTCTGGCTGGGAATTGAGATAATCACCTGTGATTAAGCACTTGCTTATTCAAGGGGGAAGCCACTCTCAGACTCCCAGAGCTCCCCACACAGCCTCAGGCAAGTCTTCACTCCTCCCAAGGAGGGTGGAGCTGGGACCAGGTAGTCCCTGAGGCCTCTCTCGGCTCCAGCCTTCTGGGAGTCTCCAGGAGGGAAGCCCTTGGCAGACTGCACAAATCCTAGATTGGTATTTGTGCTCCCAGCCAGAAACTGATTGACTCCGGAGGAAACAGGCCCCTCTCACGAGCAGAATCAGAGTAAGCAGTGACCCCCATGGCTTAATTGTGTAGGTGGAGGCTGCAGGTCAAGGGTCCTGTGCTGGAGGTGTCGCCATTACTAAGCCCCCAGCTGGCACCTCAGACCCTCCCCCACTTTGACAGGCCTTCCTCTGGGACCTGGGGCTTCCAATTAGCCAGCTCAGGGGGCAGGGTCTGTCTTACCTATTGTCTCTCTTGTGACCCCGGAGTTTCAGCCCAGAGCAGGAGAAGCTGGGAGGCCTTCCTGGCCCGCAGGCTCTGAGCCCTGAGCCGGATTCTCAGCAGCTGGCGGTGGAGGGGAGGACTTTTGCCTCCTCAGTGTCTGGTGGAGGGACTCCTGCGGCCTCCCTTAGCTGTGGAGGTGGCAGCCCCTTCCTTACCGCCAGCATCACCTCCCCCACCACCCTCCCCTCCTGCGGGCCCCACACATCACACATACGTGCTGGTCCTGTTGTATCCTTGGAGAGCAGCAAGAGAAGCAGAGCTGCTTGTAGAGGGGAGGAGCCCAGAGTCTGGGAAGACCTGAGCCCTGCTAGAGAGATAGGGCCCTCCACCCAAGTGCAGCGATCTCACTCCTCTCGTGGCTAGGGTTCACATCATTCAGGATCAGTCTCCCGGGGACCCCGGCCTCCTCCCACACACGCTTTCCTCTGACAGACTCGTCTCTTTCCCTGTGTCTCTTCCCGCTCCCCCCTTCTCCCCCACTCCCTTTCCCAATAAAACAATCTACCCCAATGGATTTTTTTTTTTCCCAGTGGGTTTTCAAATGAAGTTTTTGCCTGAAATTTTCAAAGAAACACATGCTTATTATTGAACACTTGGAGAGAAAAAAAGGAAACAGTCATCAAGAGAAAAGCATATTAATAGTTGGTAGTATTTTCTTCTCAGTCCTGTTTGTTGTTTTTTCAATAGCCTAGTTGAGTTAATAATAACTAATACTACTTAGCCTTTCTTAAGCACTTACTGTATGTTAGGAATTACCTCAAATCCTCCAGATACCTTTATGTGGTGGTACTAATGTCACCTCTTAATCTACCTGCAGTTACATGGCCAGGGAGGAACAGAGGCAGAATTCAAACCTCAGTCATCTGGCTGTAGAGCCTGTACTTTTTTTTTTTTAAACAACAGCTGTTTTATTTTACTTATTATTTGTTTTTAATAAATTTATTTATTTATTTATTTTTGGCTGCGTTGGGTCTTCGTTGCTGTGTGCGGGCTTTCTCTAGTTGCAAGTGGTCTTCGTTGCGGTGCACGGGCTTCTCATTGCGGTGGCTTCTCTTGTTGCGCAGCACGGGCTCCAGGCACGTGGGCTTCAGCAGTTGTGGTGCACGGGCTTAGTTGCTCTGCAACATATGGGGTCTTCCCGGACCAGGGCTCGAACCCGTGTCCCCTGCATTGACAGGCGGATTCTTAACTACCGCGTCACCACGGAGGTCCCGAGCCTGTACTTTTTTAAACCCACCACCCCTCTGCCTTCCTGGTAGGACAGGACTTCTGGCTTTTATTTCTGGTTAAGTGGGTTAAGCCCTGCTCACCTGTTTGCCACCTTTTGAAGAGCCAGTGGAGGGGCAGGGACGCCTTGATCCTGGAGTAACACAGGCTCTGGAGCTGTGGGGCTGAGTTCTCAGGCTGATGGGGGTCATCTTGGGCCCCCACCCCATGGCCCGACAGACATATTTGCAGGTAAAATGCTGCCTTTTGTGTCCATAGACACGGAACTTGTTCGACTGCTGGCATCTGTCTGCATGCAGGTGAATAAAGACAAAGGCCGGCCCAGCCACTCACCACCCCCGCCCCACTCGAAGGTCCGACAGCCCTGGAGTGTCCCAGTGCTGCCTGATGACAAAGGCGGACTTAAGGTTTGACTTTTCTTGTCTTAAATGGCGTCAGAGAGCCAGGCCAGAATGGGTGAAGCGGGGAGATGCTTGCCGCTTCCTTGTTAACCAGGGCTGGTGTAGGCTGGGGTGGGGGGCCCAGTAGGGGCAGGAAGTAAGCTGGAGGTGAGCAATAGGGAACGGTGGGGACCAGGGAAAACTGGGGTGATCGTAACCACTTAGTGGCCTTAGTCGCTGCTTTGCAAGTATGTGGGTCCATGTTGCCACATGTTCCCATCTTTTTCAGGAGAAGCTAGAAACCCAGATTTTGATGCAGAGACACAATTTGTAAATGTAGGGAATTTAAACATTTTTTTTTGCATGATGTAGTACTGAGCTGGCCAACCTTGAACACCTCTTCTTCCAGGCCATCTGTCTGTGGCCTGTGCTTTAGTGTGGAAAGTATTTGCTGATTGCACCATTCTAGGATCTCCCTGTGGTCCACAGACCCCCGTCAGCTTCTTCCGGAAACCTCAAAACCAAGCTCCAGTTGCCTATTTCTAAACTGCAAGCTGAATGTTTCTCTTTGAATTTCTTACCCTCCGAGCCCTGCTCTGCTTGTTGGAAATCAAAATTATTTTTTCCCTTGTCCTGGCTGGGGTTCTAGCACCTTCTCAGATCTGCAGACTTAGCATTCTTCTCATGTTCGTCGCTCACTCAGGCCCCTGGATTCTTCCTCACAGTGTTGTTTGCATAGATCTCTTCATTCCTGCCTCACTGCCATCTCTGTAGGCCAGGCTCTCACAGCCTCCCTTTGGCGCTGTGCCAGTAACCCCTGAGCTATCGTGGGATTATGTAGACACCCTAGGGGTGGCACCTGTCCTCTCTTTAGGTGGGAAGGCATCAACTACAGGAGCAGATGGTCCAGGCGTTGGTGTGGACACCCTGACACGTCTCACATTGTTACTGGAATAGGGGGAAGGAGGTTATGCAGTAATAGATGTTAAGGTGTTTGGTATTGCCTCTGTGTCCACCTGTCTGTCCCTGTTTGACTGTAAGACATTGAGCAAATTGATATCCCTGGGTCTGTGTTTCTCTATCTGTGCAATAAGGAGATTGATTGGAGGAGGGTTAGCAAATAGGGTTCACTGCCAACTCCAGCCTATTGGAAAGGCCCCCTAAGGGCTGGGTCAGGAAGGATTTAGAGAGAACCATGGCTTTTGGGAAAGGGTGCTATGGTTGATTGGTAATGCCCGCAGTGGGCCCAGGAGAGGGGAAGGGAAGCACGTGTGGAGTGTGGTCACTGTCCCTGGGCTAGGTGTTCTTGGGGCATGACCTCTGCTCTGCACTTCCTTGGCAGTCCTGGTGGAACCGAATGTCCAATCGGTTCCGGAAGCTCAAACTGATGCAGACACTGCCCCGTGGGCTGTCCAGCAACCAGCCATTGCCTTTCTGTGATGAGCCAGAGCCAGCACTGGACTCCACAATGAGGGCGCCCCCCCCAGACAAGACGAGCCGCTCTGGGCTCCCCGACGTGACCCCCACGACCAAAGACAATGGTAAGAAGAAGTTGCATGTGTGGTAGAATTTCCAGAATGGTCAAACCCTGAACCTTTTTGCCCTCACCCTCTTCCCTTTGTCCCACCTCCTAGGCTGATGCCAGAGGTGAGATGCTGTTGGAATGTGACACTGGGGCAGAGTGGCTGGTCTGGCAAAGAAGGGACATAATTGCTGTCAGTGTGGTAGAATGGGGAAGCTGGTGGCACGAGTCCCAGGCTCCTGTCCCACATGCCCTGTTGAGACCACTGGCCAGTCACTGCCTCTCTCTTGCCTTCGATCAGCGATTTTCCCACCTGCCGAATGTGATTGGTCTTGCACTGACAGTGTTTTGAAATAGAGTGAATTACTAGGGTTGGGCTGGGGGTAGTGAGCTCCCCACCACTGGAGGTATTCAACAGATTGGATGACTTTGCCAGGGCACTGAAGGAGATTCCCACACTGATTGGGACGTCAATTAGATCAGATCCCTTCTAACAGTCAGACTTCCCACACCCAGACTAGATCCTTTGGCACCACTGTTTGAGACAGACTATTGAGCTGGAGGTACCACTGTCTGACCCAGCATGACAGTGGTTTACGGAAAAGCTGAAAACACACTCTAAGATACCTTTTAAGTGCTTTCCTTCTATTCAGGTATAGAATATCAATTATTATTAAGTATTTAATCACTCAGGAGAGTTGGTTTTCCAGGATGAAGGCTGACCTGGTCACTTGTCATGCCATGAACTCTTTGTGGGGTGGGGGTGGGGTCATTTCAGGAAACTTCTATTTGTTTCTCAGGTCCTGGGAGCACAAGAGGAGAAAAGGAAGATGTGTTATTGACAACCATGGTGAGTGTGGGGCTTTTCTAAAAGCATTTCAGGTCTCTACCAATCGTTAGGGGATTGATTTCTAAGAAGGGATGTAGGCGTTTGTCTTTCTCTGTGGTGGTTACAGATGGGGTCGATATCAAAATGTGTAACAGTGGGTATATCTCTGGCACCGAGAAATCAGGACAGATGCCAGCCCTGAATTGCAGGTAAGGCTGTGCTTGTGCTTAGCAGCCAGAGGTAATCCCCAATCATGTTCTGAAGGAGGCAGTACTGAGGACAGGGGCCTTGTAGGCATAGGAATTGATGGGTGACATTGAACTCACCCTTTTGGTTACGGAAAGCCAAGGAGAGAGAAGTCAAAGAGGAGGGTATGTTTCCAGCCTGAGAGAGGCCTCAGTTTCCTCATCTATAAATTAGAGATGTATCAGGATTAGGTTCAGCTATGAGTAACAGAAAATCCCCAAATAACTGGCATAAATATATGACAGCATCACATTTCTGTCAAGTAAGTGAAGTTCAAGACTAGTTTATTGTTCCATAGAGTTTGGGACCTAGGTTCCTTTTACCTGTTGGTCTACCAGCCATGGCTACTACTACCAAGGTCACCTTTTGGTCCAAGATGCCTGCCAGAGCTCTGTCCATTACTACCTCACTCCAGCTGACAGGAAAGATGAGGGAAGAAGAGGTGACCATAGGCACATGCCAGGTGTCTTTAAAGAAGTTTCCTGGGCTTCCCTGGTGGCGCAGTGGTTGAGGGTCCGCCTGCTGATGCAGGGGACATGGGTTTGTGACCCGATCCGGGAGGATCCCGCGTGCCGTGGAGCGGCTGGGCCCGTGAGTCATGGCCGCTGAGCCTGCGCGTCCGGAGCCTGTGCTCCGCAACGGGGGGGGGGGGGGCC